TATGTTAAGTGAAGGATATATTAACTAACCTTATTGTGGTACTCATTTCACTATATATGTGTATCAAATCACACTGTACCTTAAACTTACATGGCATTATATTTCAATTATATTTCTTTTTTAATTTTTTATATTAATTTCAGGTATGCAGAATAACATAATAATTAGATATTTACACCCCTCACAAAGTGACAACCACCCCCCATTCTACTACCCCTCTGGCCTGGTACATAACTGTTAGAATAACATCGACTATATTCCCTATGCTGTACTTTACATCCTGTGAAAATATAATTATAGTTGACATTCATCATTATTTTATTTACATCAGCTTCAGGTGTACAGCGCAGTGGTCTGACATCTACACAATATATAAAGTGATTCCTCTGATAAGTTCAGTATCTATCTGGCACCCTACTCAATTATATTTAAATAAAGCTGGAAAAAGAACTTTCCCAGAACATAGATATGAGTCTCCAGATTGAAAGGATCTAACAAGTATTTAGAACTTAATTGTGAAATTTCAGCTCACTAAAGCTGAGAGCTTCCTGAGAAAAAAATAGGTCTCCTACTAAGGATTTATTGTAAGAAAAACATTTGACTTCCTAATAGCAACTTTGAAAATTAGCAATAATGGAGAATTTCCTTTAAGATTCTAAGGGAAAAGATTGAACCTAGAATTTTATATTTACTGGAGTCACATTATTAATCAAGTGGGAAAGTAGCCTGAAGAAAATTTTGGTCACTTTAAGTCTCAAAAAAAAAAGACAAAGCTCAAACTTTTTAACCCTCTTTCAGGAAACTACTGAAGAATAAATTATTTCTTTAAAATGAGGAAGTAAACCAAAAGACGCTATTATGTGCCATCCAGGAAAGGAATTCTGACTCAATTAAGAGGTGCAAAGAATTCTTAGGTTAACATCAGAGGGAAGTCTGAGTATGACATTTAGATGTTATAATAGTATAAACAAGCTTTAACCAAAACTTGTGAGATATTAAGAATATAGTTGAAGTGAAATAGATGTAAACAAATGCGAAAATCCTCAGCTTCCATGATAAGAGGTCAATAGACAAATCTAAAATTGGGTAAAGAGAGAGCACTATAAATATGACATTTAGAAATATCTGACAAATTCTACAGGAAAACACACCAAAGAGTTGAAACTACTTATCTTTGGGGAACAGGACAGGATGAACAGAAGACTGATCATTTTATTGCAAGCTTTTTAAGGCTATTAAGCTTTGAAAACTATGTGCTTCTGTTACTTTTACTAAATTTAAATGTTAATTTAAAATGTTGATTTCTCAAAAAAGCCTAAGGTACAAGTCCCTTTTTATTTCATTTTATGCTGATTTTCTATCTTTTTATTCCATGTATTTGCTTTTTGACAGAATTAGATAATAATGAAGAAAAACTGATTTTGAAAGTCCGTAAATTCATTGAAAGCCATATATTTTTATGTTAAATTGCATACAGTAAATGCACAATAAATGTCTTGGTTAAATCTTAAATTTATCAACAAGGTTCAAAGGAATAACCTTTTAGGACCTTTTTGTATTAACACTTAAATCTATTACTAGAGATTACAAAGAATATGAAACTTTCTGATTATAATAATGTTCCTTGTCACATATTTTGCAAGAAACCTTTATAAGTAAGATTATACCTTAAGTTTGCATTTAGAGCATTTTATTTTTCATTAAAAAATTCAAGCCCCTACACAACTATTGAATGATAAAGACTGATAAAAATCTCTTTAAATACAGAGATGGATTTTCTGTATGACAAGAACCAAAGGAAGCTGTAATGCTCCTCAATTTTTCTACGTAATAGCAGGTCTACAGCCACTTTCAACAGTAGAGAATTGGTACTGCCTAAAGAGAAAGCATCTCAAAGGCAATAACGAAGTATTTCTGTCAGTCTTTTTTTTTTTTTTCCCCCATGCGGGAGTCGAACCGGCAACCTTGCTGTTAAGAGCGCACACTCTATCCAATGAGCTATCCTGGCAGTAGCTCAGCTCAAAGTGCCGAGTTCAGTCCCAGCCGCGGGTGGGCATAGCCCACCATGGAACAGGCAATCTTGTCATTAGGAGCACGTGCTCTCACCAGCTGAGCCAACCTGCCACCTGTTGGCAGCTCAGCGGCAGCTTAGTTCGGGCGCAGCTCACTGGCCTATGTGGGAATTGAACCAGCAACCTTGTTGCTCAGAGCTTGTGCTCTTAAGCAAACTCTTAACCAGCTGAGCCACTCAGCTGGCCCTATTTCTGTTAATCTTAATGCCTCTTTTGGAAATGTGAGCACTTGAAGATTACATAATACGAGAGCTTCTAAATTGTGAGAAGAGCTAGCAGAATACTCATAACCTCCTGCTACATTATTATCCTTCCACATTGGCATGTGTTTGGAACTATGTTATTCTGTTATCTTCTAGTGCTAATTAATATTTTTAGTAGATCAATGTGTATACTTCCAATTCTGGATTTAAATGACTTGATTAGATTATTTAAAAACAATCAAGATCTTTGGTGATCCTGACTAGATACGTCTTATAATTCCTTGTAAGACACACAATACCTGAGACAATACTTAACATATACAGAAGCCAATTAATTGTGTTATTCAGTTGAATAGGTGCACAGTTTGTTTTTTTTCCCATATTGGTAGACTTTTGTAGACTGAATGGACCAGAGACTTAAAGGGCTGAAAATGACTTTTCTACGGGGGAAAATTCTACAGAGGCAGTACTGCAGTCCATGCATTTTTCAATTAATTTATATTTTTGCTATACATTATGAGTTACTTAGGATATAAAGATAATTAAGACAGGTACTTTGCTTCCTGGGAGGATGAAGTCTAGAGTTAGGTAGCAAATACGGGAACATAATAATTATAGCTGTAATACGGGTGATGACAGCTCTGTACAGGGAATAATCAGCTGGCCAGCTGAGGCTGCCTGATAACGAGGTAGTGGTTTTTCCTTATAGTGCCGTGAAAGACATTCCAAAATGCCCGTTCCTGTCCATTTCTCCATGTGTGGTGTGCTTTCAGACTACATTGAAAAGGCGTCCCAAAATTCAATGCCCATGAAATCTAGAAAGACATTTGTTATTGTCAACATGGATGTTTTAAACTGAAATTTGCTGTAAACTTCTGTATATAGTTATGATTGAATATTTATGTTTAAGGTTGGTAGTCATTTTTAAGAGTTAGTCAGTAAATCCACTTGAGAAGAATTGACTTAGTATAGCCCAGAACATAAAATAAAACAATAGAAAGTATTTTCGGTTAGTAACCTTCCCAGTGGAATATGGGTCAGTAAACCATAGAAAGCTTGATTTTTTGTGTGTGAAAAACTTTTAAAAGCATTTTCTGTAGCCTGTTTTTATATATGAATTTTTCTTTTGCATATATACATTCTATGTGATGATTTCCCCAGCTGGGGGACACCTTTTATTATATAATTGTCCCTTGGTATCTGTAGGGAATTGGTTCCAGGATTCCCTGCAAATATCAAAATCTGCAGATGCTCAAGTACTTTATGTAAACTGGCATAATCTTTGCATATAACCTATATTTGCATATGGGCTACAGCAGAGTATGCCTATACATCACTCTGTTCACGTGCATTCATTATAGTGCTGGGCACGTGGCAAATTCAAGTTTTGTGTTTTGGAACTTTCTGGAATTTTTTTTCCCCAAATATTTTCAATCTGTGGTTGGTTGAATCTGAAAATGTGAAACCCATGCATACAGAGGGCCAACTATATTTAATAAGTATTATGGGAACATATAGTCCCATAAATGAACATTAATAGTCAATAATAATTAGCTAATGCACATGAATATTTAATAATTATCAAATATAGCTAATGGGATGCATTCAAATTAATATTTAATTTTACTTTAGTTTCATTTAGGGTTAAATGTGTGTATTTGGAAAAGAAGTGAAACCGTTCTACTCAGCAGCCATTCTTCATACCCATGGATGTGGAACAGTTCACTGAACAAGTGGTCTTACACCTCTAGGGCTCAAAAAGGAGCAGGATAGAAACTCTTGTGGTTGAGTTTACCAAGACCAGGGACCGCATGTTCGTGAACCCACCATTCTTTCTGGCAAGGGTTTGCTTCTAAATGTGACTGACTTTTCTGTAATAACTAATTATGAATAATAAGAAGAAGAATACTAATTATAGATAACAATGCTCAACTACTTACAAGTGATAGGCTCTGTGCTGGGTTAATCTGCACAAAACGCTGTGAAGTTGAGTTCAGCACAACATGTTATACTCACTTTACAGATGAGGAAACACCAGTGAGTCAAGGTTTAAAACCAGATGTCCTGACTTCTGCACTTAGGTCCCTAACTGCTATGTCATGCTGCTTCCCATTATGAAATTTGAGCTTCATAATAACCCTGTTAGGGAGACAATAAAATCTTTGTCTCAGTTTTATAGTTGAGGAAAGTATCTCTTGGGGAGACTAAGTGATTTGTCTGAAGTTTCACAACCCATTTGTGTATGGCTTGGATTGGAATCTGCTGCTTCTAACTTCAGCCAGAGGTAAAGGAAGAGCATGGAGAGAGGTTTGGGAGGGAGCTGCTTTGGTTAAAAGTTACATCTCCTCCAATGTGGAGAACCTGAAAAGGCTGGATTACACAGCTCAGGACATGGTACATACAGCATGTGGAGAGGACGGTGCCAAAGCAAAAACCCAGTAGCAGGCACCACCTGTGACTTGGCTGGTACTCTGAGCTGGAGAGGCTTGAGTTTGAATCCAGCCTTTGCTGCCGCCTTGCTGTTTGATCTTCAGCTAATCTCTTCCTTGTACTAAGCCTAGATGCCTCCATCAAACATGAATAACATTTATCTAACAAGGTTATCAGAATTAAATAAGATCATATATATAAAAGACATAGCAGAATGCCATGCATATAGAAAATGCTGAGTTAAAAGTTAGTTTCCTTCCCAGTTGAGTGAATTTTCCTTTCTGTCTTTCCATAGCATTTATCTAGCCGGCAGAGTGTACAGCAAAGCACATCCCAGGTAAGCATCTTAACCAGGGCTCCCGACCTTTTCCCTCAACTCTTTCTCTTAAGAGATCACAAAATAGGGATGCACCGGGCAGTGACAGACACCACTGTAGTTTGTGTGGTGCCCTTCATCTGAGGAGCCCTGACCTTTAAGCAAATTTGGCCAGTCTCGACTCCTCTGTGCAAATTTACATAAGCACAACTGAAAGAAAGGAGACTGAGAGACTAAAATGAATCAGTCTGGAAGAAAATAAAAATGTCATTTAGATGGTAACTATTATCATCTAACAATGTAACTCAAGTGCAGCAGGGTCATGACAGTATCTCTAAGAAATGACTTTGAAAATGGTTCCCTGGAGAATTTAGACGTTTGTGACCTGATGTGGATTTTCACTTCACCCGTAAGTTGGAATTACTGTTTCGGTATCTCCTTCACTCTGTTTACTTTTCCCAGCTGCATATTTGTCCACCTCAAACCAAGCATATTGATGCAGCACCCCCTACTAGCAGAGAAATCACCTTCGGTCTCTCTTTTAAATGATCCCCTTCAGCAGTGTGAGGAGAGTTAGTCGTTTAGTTTTCATTTTATTCATGATTAATATAATGAATAACTAAAATAGAAATCACTGTTTTTTGCCTTCTTGTTAGGTAGATACAATGCGCCCACGTCATGGGGAAACCTGTCGGATGCCAGTGCCACATCACTTCTTCCTCAGCCTGAAGAGTTTCACCTACAACACCATTGGGGAAGATACTGATGTCTTCTTTTCCTTATATGACATGCGAGAAGGCAAGCAGATCAGGTAAAAGTTACTAGAAGTCCTGGTGAGGTTGGGACTCTGGGCTAGGATGGTCTGGCCGCGGCCATAGGCATCTCTGGCCTTCAGAGACGATAGATGCACAGAGGAGGCAAAACAAGATAAAGTAACCAACTCTTCTTTAGCTAGGAGCTTTGCCTCAAATCCCAGTGTACCCTAAGGCACGTGTGACCTCTTTCTTATCCTGTGCCTTTTCCCAAGTGGAAGCTCAGATCCCAGTCTTGGCTCTCACCACCTCTGGGAGTGAAAAGGATGCATCTCATCATGCCAGAGAAGATGAATAGGAGAAATATAGAACAAAGCACATTCAGCAGAGGCCCAGCTCTAGAATGCAGGATGCCCTGGGCTCTGCCTTGCTGCACATAGGAGAGAGGGCTCACAGGGAATAGGCTAATGGGGTCCTGTCTGAGGGCAGCCCCGGTCCTCAATGCTGCCAGCCCTGTGAAGCGGAGAGCATCTTCTGGGCAGCAGGGAAGGTGGGCCTGATTTCATCATTCCTCTTTGCCTTGGGTTGGAGGAGAGGCTGCAGAAAGGAGCTGACATGGATCTTGGCAGAGCCATGAGGCCCTTAAGCACGAGCAGCTGCACCAATGCTTTTCCCTGGAAAGGTAGAAAGGAGTCAAGGAAACACCCGATGCTTCTCTTTTCTCTGGAGGCCAGTAAGGCTCTCATGGGTGAGATTACCTTCGTAGCCAGCTTGGGATTTTAGGGAGTCCATGGTTTTCTCCGTAGTCGTCTTCTTGGTGGGGCAGAGAGAAAATAAATCTTGGAATACTTTTATATTGTTTGGTGACTTCCTGTGTTAAGAGTACTTTCTGGGATTCTTTTTGTGTGTTTTTTTACTTAAAATTTGAAAACAACTGTTTCTTTTCCAATTGCACATTACATGTGGGAAAATTTAAAATGGAAGCTATAACAGAATACAAAGGAAAATCAGTTTTGCATGCTCCACAGTGCCTCTGATCTTGACTGCCCTTCCCCTCCACCAAACAAATTAAAGCACCATGCTTCCCTGGCATAGGAATAAAAGGATACACTGATTAATGAGGGCATGTAGGCCTGTCTTGTCACCAGTGGCTTCTAGTATGTGCTTCTAGGAAAGCTGTGATCGAGCAGGTAGCAGTAGCAGTGATGGCAGCTGCAGCTGCTGCGCACGGACGAGACTCTAGGCAAGGGCTGGGTGGGTATAAGCTCTGGGTGCTCTTGTTTTTCTACTAGAGCAGAGGTTTGTAAACTATTAGTACTCATTTTTGTGTATGGAAGAATTCTTTTTTTAAGCTAAAATTTATTTATTTATTTATTTTTATTGGGGAATTTGGGGGATGGGAACAGTGCTGGGGAATTGGGGGAAGGGGAACAGACAAGTTGCTGTCGTTTTGTTCTTCAGTCTAGTTGTGGAGG